CACAGGTGTGAATGAATGTGGGGGGGAGGGCATGTGTGTGTGAGTGTGTTTACTCATGCATATGTGTGTATACATATGTATGAGTGGAGGGACATGTGTTCATGCACACACGAGTGTGTAGGTAAGCATGTACATATTCATATGTGCTTACATGTGACTGTGCATGAGTGTTTTCATGTGCACATGAGTGTGGGTGTGTATGAGGGCATCTGTATGAGTGTATTCACATATTGATGAAGGCATGTGTTTGAGTGTGTTACACAGGCATGTCTATGTGAGTATGTGTGTCTCTGTGTTGCATGCACAAGGATTGATTTTATATTATTTTCTGAAAATTAGTGACTGAGTTGATTTCAGCTACACAATTACTGTTCTAAGACTCCCTGAGGCCATGGAGACATCTACTCATTTTCAGAGGACACATCTGTGTGTAGGCGTTTACCCTTTCACAGATGGCTCCCACATGGTTATGTGGAAGGCACACAACCATGAGTTCACACACCAGGCTCCCCTTTCCAGGAGCAGGCTCCCCCTTCTAGGATCAGGTCCTATCTTCTAGGAGCAGGCTCTACCTTCTAGGACCAGGCTCCCCCTTCTAAGAGCAGCCCCCCCTCCAGAAGCAGGGTCCCCCCTCCAGGAACAGGCTTCCCCTTCCAGGACCAGGCATGGCCAGAGCTGCCCAGAAGCCAAGCTGACACTGAGTATGTTTCTCTTATAGCTGTGCGCTGCCCCAGCATTGAAGGCCAGCTGTCGGATCACGTGCTCTGGAGGCTGGTTTCGGGGTCCCTGAATGAGTATGGAGCTCAAGTTCTGCTCAGCTGCAGCCCTGGCTTTTTCTTAGAGGGCCAGAGGCTCCTGCAGTGCCAAGCCAATGGGACCTGGAGCACAGGAGAAGACAGACCAAGCTGTAAAGGTGAGTGACCAGGGGCATCTTGCTGGGTGCAGGACTCTCACATGTATTAGCGGGACCACCTGTGAGGGCATCTGTTCCCCATCAAAGTCCTGTGGATGGAAGCAGAACCCGAGTGTTCAGGAGGCATGCTCCAGCAGATGCCTGTGAATCAAATGTCCAAGTCTCTGTTTTCCTTGTTAATGACAATATTTTATAAACTTCAGAGTATTAGAACACTCAAAAATTTCATATCAGTTCTAAGATAAATCAGAGCCCACGTTTAAAGGGATTATTATTGTGCATGCAGGTCATGCAAAACTACTCATTAGGGTCTTGGGAAATAGTACTTATGCTGAAGATATCGGTCTCTCACAATGACTCTCTGGAAAAGGGAGATTATTATATGCCAGGCACATGGCGAATGGTTAAATAGAAATAAATCGGAAAATAAGACAAAACTGGACTTTGATTTATGCATCTTTAGTGTTTGGTCTTTACTGATTGTTCATAGGAAATCATCAAGCACAGCTACAGACAGTGGGAACAGATCTGTGCAACAGACAACTTAGGAGGAGTGGAAACAGGGTAGCAGGAAGACAAACAGCAGCTCGGTGGGTGGGGGGAGCTGGCTTAGATAACAACTTTAATTCACTTCTAATAGGACAACCGCTCATTAATCAGGGACTACAAACTCACCAGGAGCGCAGAGATAACTGAAGAGGGGTGGCCATGTCAGATGCTCATATCTTAAATGCCCTGTTTTCCCGGGATCCCTGCCCAAGCCTGCCCTCAGCTTGGCTATGATAGCTCCTGGTTGTCCTGCTCCTTGGTTTAGGTGATGATCAGCTGGCCGGGAAGCCACAGTGAGTTTCCTCTGTCAGAGTCCTGTCATGACATGATGTTCCTTCACTCCCTCCACTCACCCCATCCCTGCACCCCATAGAGCTCCTTAGTGATCTGGGGACTAAGCATTAGAGCCATAAAGGATGAGGACTCACAGAGCTCAGACCTGTTCTTTGTTTTGGTTTCTTACTAATCAACATGTTTGTAGTCATTCTTAAACCAGGAAGAGGACCTGACAGATTTTAGCCCCCTGGGGTGGGCATTAACGAAGGCTCTGCACCTGCAGTAGGCCCCACACAGTCTCTCCTGTACCTGTGTCTCTGTCTTCCACAGTGTGACCAAGATAGACAGGATCAGCTTGATGCTAGTGCCAGAAACCATTCTCCCAGAAGAATTCACACTTAGAAGTAAATCTTTACAATCACCACATTCTCCTGATTCTTGAACCCAACAGAGTAGCAGCAAAGTGACCCTCAATGGGGAGGAGGTGGAGCCAGGCCTGCTGTCTAGCAGAACAGGTCCTCCCAGCTGTGGCTGGGGTCGCAGGGTGTGGCCACAGGTGATGTGTCTCCTGCCCCCACCAGCCCTCACTGATTCACTTCCCTCAGAAGGCCAGATTCTCAGTGTCTGTAAGGGCTCCCCTAGGCAGGTCAGTCCCATCTCGGCATTCACGTGTAACTGGAGGTAAACTGATTCACAGCCTGGAAATAGCTCCAGGTCTGCAGGAAGGGAAAGGATTTCACAGGCTGAATGCTCCCACGGCAGCAAACCTGAGGCTGTCTTCCAAGTTTTCCTTTCCTGTATTTTAAATGAATAATGCTAATTATTTTAAAACTTTTTAAAAAATTTAAATTAGAACTGAGAAAACAATTGTATCTTAATCTATTAAAAAGAATAGCAAATCTCTTGTATGTTAACATAAATACTATGCTTTTATAAACAATAGGGATTTATTTCTGAGCCGAGCGACAACCAGCAAGAAGAGTGTCTTTTCCAGTCTCCTTCTGAGCTGGCTCCAGAGAGGTGGCTGGGTCCGCACAGCTGGGTCCATCTCAGTGGAGATGTGAAAACTGCTCAGGTAGTTGGTTGGAGGGATGCTTGAGACCCTGGAGGGAGTCTGGGGTCTCCAGGAGTCGTCAGGCTGTTTTGAGATGAGCTGTGTCGACAGACTACGGCATACACAGATCCAGCACCACATCTCAGGTACGCAGAGCAGCAGACAGAGCACCACCACCACAGAAACCAACACGGTCTGCAGTTTGTCTCCTTCCCCTTCATGTTCCTTCTGGGTGCCGGAGCCGTCAGGGATCTGACACCCAGCTGTTGCTCAGTAGCTGATGTTGCTTCTCTTTTTGGTACTAGAGTTTGATAAGCATTTCTTCCTCCAAAATTTAGTCTTAAATAGCCACAGAAACACAGTTCATAGATGTTGAGGGGTTCTATAGACTGTCAAGGCTTTATCCCCCAAAAAGTAAACTGAAAAAGATACTTTTAGAACCTTATAATGTCTATTTTCTGGAATCTACAGAAATTGATGAATGCCTTAGTCCATTCTCTTATACATTTCCATTTTATTGTAACTTAAAATCTCTTCTTTTCCCATGATCCCTATTTTACCCATATAACTCCCCTCCCAGAATGCAATATGAATCCTGGTGGTAATATAATTTTATTTAAACACAATTTCTTAATTAAAAATGTTTAAGATGACACATTTTCATAAGCCAAATTGGCCAGCCTGTGGTCATTTCTCTATAGAAGAAACAGCTCTTATCGACATGGTGCTTGGTCTAAACCAACAGCATCTTCAAGCATGTTGTCATAGAAACCACTGGTGTAACAGCAGTGCTGTAATTTATTGGTATAGCCTGAGGCTTATCTTAGAATGGCTGGGCGGGGATTTGCAGGGGAACTACCTACTGCATTCTGTTGTATCCCCCAGGGGTTGGTCTGCACTGCCTGTCCCTTAGCTCAAGAGGAAGAACAGACCTTTGGCCACTACTCAAACACATCTGCAGTACCCTGAGACCAGCTGAGAAGTTCTCCAGCTTTTAAAGGGCTCCCATTCTCACTCCAAGTGGTTCGTGGTTCTAAGTCCATAGAGCATCTGGGTCTCCACAGGAAGGAGGTTGTGTTTCAACCCTGGAGTCATTTCTCTGCAGTCTAAGGCATCAGAAGGCAGATGGGTTTGACAATATCCAGGAATGCACACCCCAGTCAGGCACTCCATGCACGAAGAAAGCTAGCATTCTTTCTCATAACATTTTGGTGGGTAGAGTTAAAAGCAATAAACATGTTCGTTGTAGAAATCCATGAATCAGAAAACAATCATCTTTGCATTTTGAAATTTAGATAGACACAAAAAGCTAAACTGGAACTTTTAAATGTCTACAGAAAGCATTCCCTTCATTCTGGACTCTGTGTTTCCTAACTACGGATTTAGAGTTCTCTGAAAGCAGACCTTTGTCAGGTTGAAGTGCAGTGGTCAGGTTGGCGTCCAAGAGCTCCTGTTCCTAACCAGAGGTGTGTGTGTGTGGACTGGTGGCTAAACACAATGTTATGGGTCCATTATCACAAATCAGCACATGCATTCCATCCACATTTGAGAATGACACTGTCATTGCATCTAATCTGAGGGTGGGAATTAAATACCATGAGACAGAATTTGAGAAAACACATGTTCAAAAGCTCTATGACTGCTTGCTGCTGCACAGGCAGCCAGCTACATCTTTAGAATGTTCTATTTGGGGGAGGTCTTCGTATGTTTAGTGATGGATCACAGCTCTGGGCCCCTGGACCTCACAGCATGACCCTGATCCAGATACCAGGATTTCATCTGTTTACAGGCAACCATATCCAGGACTCTGAGCGTGTCCAGCCCCTTTGTACACGGGACAGAGCACAGGCTCTTGGCTGTTCATGGTCATTCTAAGCTAGACATGCTCATGGGAGCTTTATTGGCCACGGTAGTTGAAATCACCTACACTTGAGCTTGTTATAAGGATCCAGCCTGTTCAGGGGAATGCTGGCCTCATAGCAGGAGAAAACAATGTGCCCTTAGGTTCCTGTTTCACAGCAGGCCCCCATGAAGGCCAGGGCTGATTTGGAAGAGGAGAAGGACGATTCCTTGTGGGGAGAGCTGTCACCCAGCTCTAGTGGAAAGACATCATGTACAGAGAGCAGAAGGTGATTTCTGGGTGATCTCAGCATCTTTCTTCTCTAAGTCATCCAACCAACTCTGAAGGAGCGTTGTGCGTTGTGAGTGAGGATATGTTTTCAGTGGTGTGGAAAAACAACCCTAATGAGTTTAATTTTGGAAAGTAGAGGGGAATGTGGAGAAAAGACTTTCTCCTTGCTGTTTGACAAGGCTATTTTAGGTAGTGAAGGACTCTCCAAATTAGGCTTTTCCAACTTGTTCTGCCTTAATGAGCTGGGACTACATCCAAAGGAAACACAGTCTAGAATTCCATTATCCAGCTGCTGAGAAGCCCCATTTTTGTTTCATTAATTCTTTACGATTGAATGAACCTTATTAGAGGACAGACTTTAAATAGTCTCCTCAGCAGGATGTGTGAGCCTAGGCTGGGAGGACAGAATCATATGTGGAAGGTGAGGGACCTTCTCCCTGGTCTACCACTAAAGGAGCATGGTGCTCTCCATGAAGAATGTGATCCAAACTTCATCATTTGACACATTTCTGATAAGCACTGAAGTTGCAAAACATGATCCAATTACTTAAATGGCTTCTAAACGAATTGCTAAATATCACAGTTCAAGGAAGAGTTCACACTGTGTTTGGTGGTGTTTGGGAAAGGGCTTAGAGAAAAGTTCATAGCAAATCGTAGAGATCTAAATCCCGCTTGAATCCATTGACATTTGGTACTGCACACACAATATCAAACTGCTGAAAGCTCACACTTGGTGCTGTGTGGCTAAGCAGCCTTAGACACTGAGAAATGGGACGGTCTCTCGGCAAGACCTTCTCTAGAGCTAACTCCAGAATTCTGGTGAGTGACCCCTATAAACCACACTTAGCCTGGCTCCCTGCTAGTCCGTTTGAAACTGAGCTGGTCATTACTTAGACTCAGAGCAGCACGACTGAAAGGTTTGATTTCCGTGGTACATGTGTGGAGATTTTCTTCTCCTGGTTATCTGTAAGCATGTTTGTGGTAGAATTTTCATCACTGGGACAAATACCCAAGGAATGGTTTTTACTTTACCTTTATTATATTGTTTTTGTTTGAGACAGGGTCTCATATAGTAGCCTATGCTGGCTAGGAGTTCACCACAATCCTCCTGCCTCAGCTTCTGAAATGGTGAGACTGTAACCAAGAACCAGCACACTTGAGCAAAGCAGGAAAAGAGGAAGGATTTATTGGGATCGCAGTTTCAGAGGTTTCAATGTAGCCCGTGGTCCTCTGGCTTGAGTTGCTTTGTTTCTACCTAGAGAGAAGGAGGAAAGAATTTGCTCACCTAAGGCAGCCAGGGAACAGAGAGAAACAGACTAGAGTCCGGAATAAGATGGACCCTTCCAAGTTCCCTTGCTTGATGCCTGATGCCTCACACCAGGTCCTACCTCCCACAGAGTCTACTTCTTCCCAGCAGTTCGTTCTGACTTTTAATCCACTGGTGAATTAATTCAAAGTCCCAGTGGTCTACTCACCTGTCAGTCACTGGATCCACCAGCTGCGGTTCAGGTCTTGAACATACCAGCCTTCCAGAGGACACTGCCTACCCACGTTGCTGTGGTTTAGATGTGAAATGTCCCCCACAGACTCATGTGTCTGAACACTTTGTTCCCAGCTGTGGTGTTGCTTTCAGAGGTTGGGGAACTTTTAGGAGGTGGAGCCTTACTGGAGGAAGTGGGCCTCTGGGGAGCAGTCGGGGGTCCTTGAAGGGCCAAGTCTCTCTCTGCTTCCTGATTGGCTGGAAGAGGAGCAAGCTTCCTAGGCTCCTGACCCCATGAGCAAGAGTAGCTCCCACACCTACAAACCCCACCGTGCTGCCCCACCATGAAATGCGGACCTAAAATGAATCCTTCTTCCCCTAAATTGCGTCTGTCAGGTGTTACATCAGAAGAATGAGGGAATGGCTAAGACACTGACGGACATGACAGTCACACAGTCCCTCAAATAGGTGCTCGGCTTTGTCACTGCAGCTAACCTTGCTGAGCCCACGGCACACTCACCACAGCACCAGAGTGTGCACACCAACATCGCTCCTCCCCAAGTCTGCAGCACAGCCCTCCACAGCAACAGCCATCCTCAGCCCCAGTAAGGATCTGACAGACTGTTAGAGGACTGTTGTGCTCACCTGGCTGAGCCAAGACCTTGTGATCTTCACAGTGATGTTTTCCCACCTCTGGCCAGTCCACTGTGGAGGGGAACTCAGTCTTTTTGCAAATCAGCAGTGTGGTCTTAAGTACTGCATATATCACACCTTGTGCAGTGCTCAGAGCTCTAGGGTAGCTTTTCTCAGATGTGTTCTTACAGGTTTACTCATTTGTGAGCCTCTGGTGGCCAGAAGCCCCAAAGACTTCAAACTATCTCATCTTATGAGATGCTATGGATTTTGTGTTCAAGTGTTTATGCATCTGAGGTGCAAACATGTGGCTGGCATCAATATCCCTAGTGTGGGTGACCATTAGTTTACCTCCAAGACTGGAGAGATTTGGGGGTCACAGTGGCTGTGTTCCACCACAGGAGGGCAAGGTTATCTCTGGGACTTATAGCCACCCTGTCTGTGTCCACATGGGACAACTCTGTGTGTACACTTACTAATCTTCTGGAAGGTTCCACATGTCCTTAAGTCAGCAGGTGCAGGGAACTAGCACATCATCTCAATCAATCACACAAGTAAAGAAAAATCAGCTTGGCCCTGGAGTTGGAGTCAGAAGTCCTGGATTTTAACCCCACAGTATTTCGTTCCTGCTGGAGAAGGGGTTTCCTGTTCAGTCCCCAGCAGGCTCGTGTGGTGTCCCCTCGTGATTTTACCATTCTCTGGACTGATATGGATAGGAAGGTGGACAGTCAACTTGCCTGTAGATGTGCATAGAGGGCAGTGTTTGGGGTACTGTGTGGCTCTCAAAAAACCGTTTATTGATCTGTGAGGATAAGAAAACTTCATCAGTGATTGCAGGGACCTTGATAGCTTGGGAATATGACAGAACTTCTAAGAGTCCATGTTAGGGACATTAGGGAAGGAAAACCGAGCTGAGGGATTACTGATATGTGTGCCGAGTCCTAGCAGACCTTCCCGAGGGAGGCGTGCTCTCTATGAAAGAGGGCACTCGGGATTTCTGTTTGGGAGTAACACCCAGACCCGTACCAACACTGACTTTGTCTTTCCAGTCATCTCCTGTGGAAGCCTGTCTTTTCCTCCGAATGGCAACAAGATAGGGACACTCACTGTGTTCGGAGCCACCGCCATCTTCACCTGCAACACCGGGTACACTCTCGTGGGTTCCCACGTCCGTGAGTGCTTGGCCAATGGCCTCTGGAGTGGACCAGAAACTAGGTGTCTGGGTAAGCTGCTCCATGTCTCCTGTTTAATCCGAATAAACCTTGCAAAGCGGTGACAGTACTGCTTCCTTGATTGCTGAGTCCGGCCTCTCAGCTGCCTGTGGCTTCTTTCCTCTCGGAGCGTCTGCAGGTGACATCTCTTTAGTTTGAACAGTGAAGAATGGTTGTATTTTGCTTTCTGTTCTATAAAGACTGTCTTCTAGAGGGGCTGGAGCGATGCTTTAGAGGTTAAGAGCACTTGCCGCCCCTGTTGAGGATCTGCGTTCCCTTCCCAGCTTCCATGCCAGGTGGCTCACAACCCCCTTTAAATCCAGCTGCAGGGGATCCAACACCCTCTTCTGGCCTCTGTAGGCACTGCATACATGTGCAGAACCTCCCCACACATGCATGCACCTAATTAAAAATAAAAAGTAAAATCTTTAACAAAAGACTGTCATAGAGGGTTGAGAATATATAACATTCAAAACCACTACAAATGAAGGAGACACAAATAATTTCAAAAAAAAACTTACACACATTCTACCTGTTTAATGGTTTAAAATTCTGTCATGAAATTGAAGTGATGCTAATCTAAAGCTATGTGAATACCTTAAGCTGTTTGAAACCATGTGTCTATAATAAGAGTTTTGACTTTCTAAAGATATTCCCTGCAATAATTTTACAAGGGGGACTGTTTCCATTAAAAATGTTGTACATAGTGTGGACACACTGTGCGCACACAGATGCAGATGTGCCACTTTCTAATTTTACAAGGGGGACTGTTTCCATTAAAAATGTTGTACATAGTGTGGACACCCTGTGCGCACACAGATGCAGATGTGCCACTTTCTAATTTTACAGGGGGGACTGTTTCCATTAAAAATGTTGTACATAGTGTGGTCACACTGTGCACACACAGATGCAGATGTGCCACTTTCTAATTTCCATACTGAAACATCTTACTTACCTGTAGTACCTGACCTCCGTCCAGCACCCGCCCCCTCCTTCCCCCCTCCCTCCTTTACCCACTCCCTTCCACCGCCCCACCGCCCTCCAGCATCTCACTTTCCTCTAGGCCCCTAACAACGCTCAGCACCTTCCCTTCCCCCAGCACCAGGCCTCCCTCTGCACCTTTCCATCTCTCTACTCTGGCTGCACTGCCTCTGTCACGTTGCTGGTTTTCAACCTCGCAGTGCTGAGGGCCCTGGAAGACTTCAGCTGCGTCTCCATGAACTTCAGAACTAGAACAAGGTTCTGGAAGCTTAGTAGTAAAACCTGCTCTTCTTTTGACCTCGGCCAACAGGAGAAAGAGAAGTCAAGTCAAAGGAGGTTCTCACACGTATCCACAGAACAATCCTCGCTTATTTGATTTACTGTGGTACTGAAAGAACAGTCTAAATACGTGTGCATATTTTGTGTTACTACATTTTATATATTGATATACATTGTATCATTACACATAATTTATACCTAATACATTATACATTACACATATGCTCTCTTGTTGAATAGAATCATTATCTTTCAGCAGACTGAGCAATCTCCTTGGAATGTGAGACAATTTAGAGAGAGTCATGGGAGCCTTGGAGGTTTTCTAGACATTCCTGAATGTTCTTAAGGACTTGGCCATTGAGGAGCAATCTCCCTAAGGCAGTGCTGGTGCAGACATCTCTGTCCATGTCAGTGGGATTTAGGACAGAGGATGGTGGGTGGTCTAAAACATACCTCTGCTTGTGTGGAGGTCCTGCTCATCAGAACCCCAACCAGGGGTGTAGGTTAAGCTGTCCTCAAGTTTGAGAAGTTTAAATGGCACATTAGGTTATTAAACTGTGAAATCAGGGTCATTTTGAGTCCTACTGGTCTATAGTAAGCTGTTACTTATCCTGTATTAGCCTTCTGCTTGAGCGTTAAGACTTGAAGTCTTCAGGGTGACAAACAGGAGTCAGCTATCCTGCAAATCCTGTCTCAATCAGACTCAGTCCATCTGAGAAAACTTTTTGGAGGATAGATGGCCAGAAGTGAGTCTATTTGCTCAGAAGAAAGAAACTAAACATAAGGAGAGAGAAAAGCTCCAAAAAATAATGTGTAAATAATGTGGTATAGAAATGGAAAGAAGGAATATATAGGAATAATTGGAGAGCTAATAAAATTAGAGGAGCAAAATACTTAACAGAAGGAACAGTTCAGAAAGGGTTGAACTGGCACATAGCCACACATGTGTAACCAGTGCTTAAATAATGGGCAGTAAATTTCGGGTGAAGATTTAAAAGCTGAGCAGATAGAGTTTCATGGTGACCATTGAGACTTGAGGGCCGAGATTCATAATCTTCCTAGTATGGTCTCGGTACCAGACTGCTGATGGGAGTCAGCATGATCTAATGCAGCAACAATGTGTGTTTGGGCAATTGTGAAATCACATGTGTGGCAAATGTGTGTGGACCTATAAGGAGGGGAGGGGATGGAGACTGTTCCATTACCAGAGGAGGCTGTAAGATGCTCAGATACATGGCCCAGGGCAGGGTTCGTCCATAGCCTGGCACAGACACATGTAGCTGGTTCTGTAAATAGCTCCATATCCCACATGCTAACTAGAGGCCTTATGGAACACAGTATCTGTGAGTAACTTCTTTATTAATAACATATACATGGCATTTTTGTGTTTTGTCCTATGTTTTTATTCACATTAAAACACACAGTAGGGGCCTATCCCTCCTATCACAGATGAGAAAATTGCTTAGAGATGCAAGAAACCTGTCCAGCTTCATAAACCGAACCACTGTTAGAAATAGCTTGTATGTGTAAGTCGTGTGGTTGCAGTTCAGGACTCCCAAGTACTTCTGGCTCTCTTTGTGACAAGGTTCCCTCTCAGAAGGCAGGTTTAAGAGAGAAGTACACTCTTCCACCCACACGGGGGCACTGGAGGACGAACTGGAAGCCACCTGAGTTCTAGAACCAACGACTTATGCTAAGGAGAGGGAGGCATCCCTGGGGTCTGCTGGGCTGGTGGCTGGGCTTAGATGAGATCACCTGTGAACCTGGCTGTTGCTTTTCGTCCATGCCCTGGCCTGATTTGTCATTTGAATCACTGCATCCTTTGTTTCTATTGTTAGGACCTTCCTGAAAGAACTCTGGGTTTCTACTAAGCTAAGTGACTTTGAGAGACTGAGACACAGATGTGCAGTGCTCCCTGGACCCCAGGGCAGCTAGCTCAGTGGTCACAGTGGGAGGTGATTCCCAGTAACAATGGCGGCATTTGGTGTGGAACTTCTTAAAGTTCAGAAAATAGTCTATGGAATCCCATGGCTTCATGTCAAGGAGAGACTACCTCTTAACAAAACAAAATAACAGGCCCTACATCTGTGGCTTTGAGAAATATACCATCTCAGTGAATAGGATATGGGTACCCAAAGTCAGTCAGGAGTGCCAGGAAGATGGCAGAATGCTACATGGGGCAGCAAGTATGTTTCCCTTGATGTGATCAAATACAGTTCTAAGGACAGTATCTTAAAGAACACATCTGTTATAGGCAACAGTGCTAAGGACATAAAACCCCCTCACCTGTGACTGGTGTTCTGTTCTGTTCTCCCTGGGTCCCACTGTCAGCTCCACTCTCCAGGAACCACCAAATCCTCTCCATCCTTTATATACCTCAATGATTCCAGCTCTGCAGGGGAGCCTATCTGGATATCGAGACTGGCATAGTCCTACCATAAAGGATCTGGTGACCTTGATTTGGGAGCAATGTCTGTAAAACTTTAGATCATTATTTTTGCCCAAGAGAGGCATAAGGAAGTGACAAAGAGCTATTTTAAGGTATTGGAGATGCTATGATACCAAAGATAGAATGAGCTGGCTGTGGTAAGTTTTGACAGCCCTGGATGGGTAGGTGAAGACACCATGAAAACCTGTACAGAAAAAATAAAACTAATCAAATTCATATGCTGGGGTGTGAACTGAGGGTTTGTGATGGCATTAGAGGTACGGATCTTCCACCATTAGTTGGTGACAGCAGACACAGTGTACAGGAAAGTTCTTTGCTTTCAGACTCAGTGTACAAGCCATCTGCCCACTGACAGAGCTAGTTAAAATTGAAGCTCTGCCCAGCACCACAGTGGAGACTTGTTTCATAACAGAGCTGCTCACAAAGCTCTGTGCCCGGGGCTACATGCTCCCTGAGCTATATTGAATTGCAGACACCCTTCCCAGCATAGACACTCTGGCATGTACTTGACCAGGTTGTGGATCAGGATCTATTTATCTGGAGGACTACCCAGAGGAATGCTTTGTGTTGGTGTGGTCCTTCTGGTTATGGTAGTATTCTAGCTGTGTCCAGAGGTGTCCAATAGCAAGGTTTATTTCAGATCCTCTGAGCAGAGAAGATAAATAGATCAGCACCTGCAAGAGTAATTCTCACTGGCCAAGTCTTGAGGAATTACCTGTAACAGAACTGTGTTTGAGGAGGCGGGGGGTGTCTTGACTCACACTCAATAATGGAATCTGTGCTATGGTGGAAGTTCCTAATCTGAGTTCTGAGCCTGAGCCTCTGACAGAGGACTGTGTGTGTGTGTGTGTGTGTGTGTGTGTGTGTGTGTGTGTGTGGTGTGTGTGTGCAGCTTTGCAGATGATTTCAAGATGAAGGTTTGTCCATGCCTGTTATCGCACATCCCCACAGAAGTTCCCAGAACATGCTGTGTTAGAACTCCCTTGCCTGTGCTGTGACGGAGTCTCCACGGGCTCTAAGTTGCCAAGGATTGTTGTGTGTTCCCTTCTGTAAGGTACGTGCTTCATGCCTCTCTAATTTGGAGCATTAAGCTCTGGGAACACAGACCCCATGTCTTCTCCATCAATCACCTTCTAATCCATCAGGAGACCTTTATCCTCAGCCCACTCTCTTAATTATGTTCTTGTGTTTATCTACCTTGTGGTAATTTCCCTTTACCCCAACGGTGAGCACATGGTTAGAAAGAGGTGGTGCGTTTATAATCTAGGGTCCCTGTTGTAAAAGTGTTCATTAATCTCTTAAT